GGGGGGGGGAGACAGTCCTGCTCCCTGCCACCCCCAGGTCAATGCCAGGCAGAGGAGATTCCTGACCAGTATTTGTACAGCAAACATCCGGTTCACAGCTGGAGGAGCTGACAACAAAGATCATGGCCACAGCAGGCCCATCACTCAGGCAGTGGGACGCTGGGTTCCACAGGCAGCTATGGAGCCCAGCCTAGGGGCCACTGTTCTGAACGCAGGACTTGGTCCCTTCCCTCCTCTGTAGGGACTTTCCTAACATGCTCTTTTTGAAGCCCAAGCCAGATACCCTTTTCTTGAAGTAGGTTCTCCACTTGTGATACTCCCGGATCACAATCTCAATGCGGCTTTTCCAGTACTTCCCTTCTGTGGTGATGGCCTGTGGGAGAGATGCCGGTCAGCATCGGAAGACAACCTCGGGGTGTTGGAGCAGAAGTCAACCCTGGGCATCTAGATCAGAGCACCTCGCCATGTGCCTACAACTTCATTCATAAAGTGTGTCCCCCTCTTTTGGGCTGCAAGATGTGATAACCAAGGAGGGCTCAGCAGCGCAGGTCCTGAGGGTCTAATACCAGCTCATGTCCGGCTGCTCAAAACTGTCTTCATTAGGTTACTTTCCAATTTCCCCTTTTATCATCACAGTAAGACATGCTAGCACAAAATTAAAACGATGTAGAACATAAAGGAAGAGAGTCTCCCCTCCTCCTCACATTAACTATACTCCCCAGAGTAAAAGGTCTCTGAATATCCTTCTAGACACTTCCTGTGCATGTATAAACACACATACACTTTAACAAATTAACATAAAAACACTAAAACACTATAGTACAACTTGTTTTTTTCTCATTTACTATTTCTTCAACATCTTTCCACTCCAGTATATAAAGATCTTGATGTCATTTTTAATTGCTAGAGATATCTGCTTTGTAAGGAGCCCAAATCCCTCCCTGTTTACTAAAGTAAATACTGATGTCACAGGAAAGTAGAGGGTAAGTCCCAACTGGAGAGTCCCTCAGTCTCTGGGTCAGCCCACTCTGAAAAGAGGGGCGCCACCTGCTCCCCATATCCCCATGGCCTCTCAAGGTTACAACAGCTGACAGGACAGCACAGCCGCAGCACGCTCCCTTGTAGTCTCCCAATAGGAAACCCAACCCTCGCTCCCAGCCCTTGGGGAGTTATCTCCTCCTGAGTGAGGGTGAGTCCCGTTCCTGGCCACCCATGATCATGGGCCAGTTACCTCTGGCCGGCGATGCTCATCGACTTCCACAGAGCCGTCCAGCGGAGTGACAAAGTGGCACACAGGATTCTTGCGCTTCTCCAAATCTGGGCAGAGAGGGAGTAAGATGTCATCACTGTGACCAAGACCCCTGAAGGAGCCTTGTCCCTTTGTCCACACCCCTCCCCTTAGGATAGGACCCTCCCACGTGTGCTTTCTTTCTCTTTCCCTTAGAAAACGAAATTTCGGACAAATAAAGGGGTCCAGCTTAAAGCGAAAGAATCTGTCAGTAAGGTGTGAGCAAGAGAGGAAGTCGTGCTATAGAAATGCCAGCTTAACCCAAAAGTGGCCCAAGCACACCGATCTCCTGCAGAAGTTACCCAGGCTAGCTAGAGACAGAACAAGGCCTGAGCCTGCATTTTCTTAGACCTGCTGAAAGTGGGAACTGTTCCCTGATGCTCCAGATGTCACCTCTTTGCTATACCCTTCCTGACTCCCCTGAAAAGAACTAACCCCTCCCTCCACCTCTGCCTTTTTACACTGGGCCCCGGTGTCTATCTAACAGTGGGCACATTGTGTTGTGAGCAACCAGCCAACACATCTGTCTCCTGAAGACTATGGGCACCTTCACGACACAGGCCACTTGGTTGGCCTGCTGTGCCTGATGGCAAGAAGTGTCCAGTTCACTAAGATCTGGCTCAGTTTTCCTGTCTCTGCAGACTGCCCAAGAGAGGCTTCTCTTTTGAGGCACAAAGTTCCAAGAGGGGGCTCTGGGGCCCAAGCTACACAGGCCTCCAGGCAGAAGAACCTGGAGGGCCACCCCCACAGGCCTCGGGCCTCTGCAGCCTCCTGCCCCAGCTCAAAGGAGGCCCAGCACACACAGCACTCACACTGCATGTACCACGCCCGCCAGATGGCGTTGTTGAGCCGGATCTTGTCTCTCCACTGGAGCTTCAGGCCTTTGAAATTCTTCCACTTTGGAGACACCAACTTCCCACTGAAAGGCAAGAAAGAGGAAACTCAGCGGTTCCTCTGAAGATGAAATGACATCAGAAAGTGCCACCCCATAATTCCAGGCCCCCAAATTCTGGATTAATCCATTGCAAGCCACAGGTGAGACTTGATAGAATATACAAGACCCTCTGGGATCTCTTTATTTATTTATTTTTAATATATATTTATTGATTTCAGAGAGAAGAAAGGAGAGGGAGAGAGAGAAATAGAAACATAAATGATGAGAGAGTCACTGATCGGCTGCCTCCTGCACACCCCCGACTGGGGATCAAGCCCGCAACCCAGGTATGTGCCCTGACCAAGAATCAAACTCCAATTGCCTGGATCCCAGGTCGACGCTCAACAGCTGAGCCACGCCCGGCCAGGCTCTGGGATCACTTTAAAGTGACATGGGAAAGAAGGGTTGGGGGCGGTGGTGATGTGTTAGGGTTCAGAGCAAACAGCGCTGGCCATGGGTTGTTAACTGTTGAGGCAGGGTGATCACTATCCTGTTCCACTTTTTGCATATCTTTAAAATTTTCCATAATTAAAAGTTAAAAAGAAGTCTGTTAAGTTCACAATATATATAAGTAACAGGATCACAGTGTCCTCAGTCCTCATGGAGCTCCCTGCATCCCTGGCTACCTGTGCACCCTCCAACCCCCCTGCTCAAACACCACCTCCTCTGAGCAGGCATTGGGCTCTCTCAGAGCACTGTTCACACCTCCAAGGGCCCTCACCTCAGCCCACAGAGCAATGTTTGTACCCACACCTCCCTCCATTAAACAGACCGCAGCTTCTAGAGGGAGGGCCCTTTAGGAGTCACTTACCCTAAGCACCGAGCACAGAACTTGGCACACAGCAGAGGCTCAGGTAGTAATTCTTCATTAATGAGTTAAAGAACCCTAGCAAAGCAAGCTAACAACAGGCAAGGAACATTCCCTGGAGGCACAGCCTCCTCAGACAGCTTAGCTTTCCAAGGGCTCTGCCAGGAACCTCCCCTGAGCAGCTGGCACAGGGCTCCCCTTTTTCAGATGGCTTGAGATGGGCAAGGCACTATTTTTGGTTCATACCAAATGGGGTTCTCTGGGTCCTCCTGACCGGAGGCCACAGCCCTTCCCCTTTTCCAGACCCACTCAGAAAGCTCAAGTGACAAGTAGAGACATGCCAACAGTCACAACAGCTGAGGTCTTCAAACACAGTACCCAAGCAATAAACCTGAGCTGAACCCGAAAGCCTGGGTTATGAAGCAAAAGGTATGGCTGTACACCTGGCAAAACCTCGTGGCTCCCCCATCCGGCCCAGCACCAACCCAGCACCGGACCAGGCTGGGAATCATGGAATCACATCGGCCAGAAGGCTGTGACCCCCACAGAGAAAATGTCACAGCACATCCTCTTAGAATCTACGGGACAGACAGACAGCAGCAGCCTCAGCTCAAAGGGTTAGGGGCTTCAAACGAGTCAGTCACACACCTGCTTCCTCCCTTTCTCTCTCTCTCATCGAATAGTATTTTGAACCCATGCCCATGTGGCTCAGCTTTCTCCCAAGTTCAACAGCCAGCAGCTGCAGGGGTTTAGAGCCTCTACTGCATAGCTGTACCCTAACTGAACTTTTACGGTCACTTAACTTTTCTGGTACCCATTTCCTGGGTAAGATCAGAACAATACCATCACCTCCGGAGTGTTTTACTAAGGATTAAAGGTGTGTGCACACACGCAGACACACACCATGGGTGAACCCTAAAGCAAAAGATATTCATAACCGCCTCAATGATTTAGATTTAAGTTATTACTGAAAGGCCTGATTTTTAAAACCTCCTGACTGGAAACCTGCCTGGCTTGTGACGGCCCTGAGGTGAGCCAGAACACACCTGGTCAGTGCAGTGGAGAACAGCCAGTGCGGCCAAAGCCTGGAGGGGTGAGGGAGGTGGGTGCTTCTAGATGGACCAGGCTGGACAGCAGAGAGCATGCCAGGGAGTATTAGGTGCCACAGTGGGCAAAACCAACCCTCTTTCCCCACCTCTGCAAGATCTTTCAGCAACCTGATGCCTAGCCAGGTACGCGGTTCCAGAGGGGGGGAGGGACAAAAACCAAACCCCACAAAACAAAAGAGAAAACTGTCCCTATTTTTTAATTTCCTTAAGGGGAAAAAACATCCCAAACTTTTCTATAACTGATAGTTTCTTCACATTAAAGCCCAGGAAAAAAAGGCCACTTTCTATGTTGCGGGGTCCCGACCCAGCATCTGCTGCCTGCGGGGATGGCGCAGAGGACAAAGCAGAAGGACAGCAGTGGACAGTGAGGGCTCCTGGGAAGAGAACCAGCTCCCATGCCTTCAGCGGTCAGTGAGGGACTAACCACTGGGCTTAACAACAAGCCCACCCTTAGCCCTGCTCTGTTACTGAAGACAAGGCAGGACAACATGCACCTACGAGCATCTCCTCAGAGAAGCGGAGTTACTGGATGGCTTCCGTTACTTACCAAGAAGGGGGTAGGAAAGTACACAGACAGATCAAACCCTGTAAGCTGGAAACCAAACCTGACAGGGTGTAGTTTTGGGGTTCTCATCTTCTTCCTCCTCTCTTGCTGAAATGTTTCACTTTTCCTTGGTGTTTATGTCAAACTTGGTCAGACTTCGGCAGGAGTATGTTCGATTTCAGAGCACAAACTGTCACACCCCCGCCCCAGGTTTCTATAATATCTCAACAGCCAACAGGTGGCGCTCAACCAACACAAAGAAGAGTCCCCCAAACTAAAACCAAAACAAAACCAAAACCAACACCTAAACCACCCACAGAAGTAGAGGGGGTGAAAGGACAGGTCCAGGATGTTTTCATGGTGACTGACCACCCCTCCCCCACAGCAGTTTCAAGACAAGAGCTGAAGACACACCATGCTAAGCTCTACGGTAGAAAGGATTCCACAGGCCGTGTCAGGAAAACATGGGCCACGTTTCTGTAAGCTTCTTTAGTGATTGGCTTCTCACAGAGCCTCTAATGTGCTGATGTCACTGTCAGGCTGAGTGGAGGGTTAGAGGAGACACTTCCTATGCCAACAGCCACAGACCAAACCTGGACTGGGACCCTCGTTACAGGGCTAACCGGAGTCTGGTGTCCCATGCAACAGACTAGGAGAGGCTGGCTGCTCTAAGAAGTCCTTGGCAGAGCTCCCCAGAGCCAAAATCTCCAGAAAGCATCTATGGTGGGAATTCTGCTCCCCTCGGCCCTGCCCCAGCTTAATTTATCTTTCAGACATGGCCGACTGGGATACATCTTAGTCTAACTCAGGATTATGCCCTATTCCTTCTTTAAAGTGTAACCAGAAACACAGAATGAAAATTTCTGAGACCACTGGCTTCCCCCAATAGATGAAAGACCTCTCCTGGCCTTAACCTCCCAAACATGACCCTCCTATATGTCTGTGTAGGTTCTGGGGCTTCCTTGACAGAACAATGACCTGGATCCACCTCACACCCTCCCACTCGGACTATGAAAAGGTCAAGACCTAGGTCTGACTCATCCCAGCACAGTGCCCGGCACCTTGGAGGTGCTGTTAAATATGCAGTTGTTAAATGAGTGCTAAACTCTTCCATAAAGAAATCTCACTTACCCTGCCATGCCACCCTTCCTAGAAGGCAGGTTCATGACATAAAACAGGAAGTTCACAGCACAACAAAGGTCCCTCTCAGAACTGTTGGTTAGAACTAGCAGACTGAATTCTTCAGAGGTCTGGCAAGAGGCTGCTTTGGAATGGAAAATAAAGCGCAAGCCTTGCACAGACTGGAGCTGGAATTAAGAACAGGGGAGGGTGGGACTGGGGCGGGGACTTGGGATTCTGTGGGTCCCAGGTAGAATTAGCTCCTAACTCCTAGTCAGACCATTCTCTCCAAAAAAGCAGGCAGAGGGCTCCTGCATCCATCGCGAGAGGTCCCAGAACGGTGGTGGAGTCCACGTATTTGTTCATTTGACCACACTTACTTGTTATGGGATATACTCTGCCATTCCTGATGCTCCCTAGATGCCCAGTGCTGCCTCCTCTCCCTCTGTGCCAGCTAGGCAGAGTGGGCATGCCACCAGCGAGTATACGAGGAACTGGTGTGGGTGGCCCAGGCTCATCCCCTCCTCTTGGGAACAAGCTGCCCACTGAGGGCCCACACTCATCAGGTTCTGCTCCTACAGAGCCTGGTGGAGAGAGAGGCCTGTCCTAGTCCAGGACTGCCTGGAACTACCTGGAAAGGCAGTCTAGGGTTCATTTATAAACCACATTCTCAACCAGATCGACAATAAAGGTGATATTATGGCCAGCATCTGCTGACTCTTTTTTACTGTGGTAAAGTACAAACTACATAAAACTTAGCATCTTAACCATTTTAAAGTGTACAGTTTGGTGACATTAAGTACATTCACGGTGCTGTGCAACGGTCACTGCTACCTAGTTTCTGGACTGCTTTCATCTCCCCCAAAAGAAACCCTGTCTCCATTCTCAGTCACTCCCCATTGCCCCCTCCCCAAACTCTGGCCACCACTGATCTACTTTCTGTCTCTTATGAATTTGCCTCTTCCAGACATTTCATATAAACAGAATAAAACATGTGGCCTTCGTGTCTGGCTTTCTGCACCTAGTACAATGTTTTCAAGGTTCATGTGTGTCCTAGCCCAAGTCCGTATGCCGTTGCTTTTCACGGCTGAGTCATACTGCACTGGATGGACAGGCCACGTTTTGTTTATTCTTTCAGGAGTTAATAAACCTTCGGGCCTTTTCCTCTCTTGGCCACTGCCAATAGTGCTGCTATGAACCAGCTCCTCTGTTTCATTTCCCTGTCAGCTCAGAACTCCGGCGGGGGAGACATGCCTGATCACTAAGCTAACACCGGGGCACAATGGTGGATAAAAACAACTGTGAATTTTGTTGGAGGGCAAATGGACAATTGTCTATCAACATTTTATATGTGCATCCCTTCTGACTCAACTCCATGGCTGGCACTTGATTCTATAGACTTGCA